AACTTTAAGTGCATCTTCGCTAGGGTTACCATATGGTATCCTCCTTTTTCAATAATTGTTCTACATCCTTCTTTTGTCCGAAAATGTCCTCCTTTCAAATCCTTGCATTTTTTCCAGTAACATATTCATCAAATTGTTTTCAAAGAGCGTTGTTTGCAGATTGCAGTTTGCCATTCGATGGTGGGATTAGGAGTATACAGCTGTCAACCCCCCTACATTTAGGCTGCCGGAAATTTGGTGAATTTCAAGTTAAAGAAGACAGATGGAAAATTTTCAAATAAACCGGTTATTCTACCAAACTTATTTCAGACAAACCAAGAATCAATTTGGACACAACAATTTCAATTTCTTAAATTTTATATTTCGAAAATAAATTATAATGTTCAAAAATCTCTTTGTTCTTGATCGTGTGATTTTCGAGAAGTTGTTTGTCAAAATTGATTCCTGGTATGCCAGAAATAAGTCTGGTACAATCGAGGGGGGCGACACATCTAAATCTCAAGTTTAGATGCTCAACAAATCTCACACTAGCGAATCAATCTTCGAAACATCTTCTTTCATTTGACGCATCTACTTGTATCGCGCATTATCTTTTTGCAGGAAATCTTTAGAATCGTCATCAATCTTCTTTCTATCTACTCAGCGTGCGCGCAGCTAGCCTCAGCAAAATACAATCTTTTCTGCATCGTAGATAGAGTCGCCCCCCTCGGGTACAATAGAAGAATTATTTGAAAATTTTCTATCTGTCAAGTTTAAGTTAAAATTCACCAAATGGAACACAGCTACATAGATTTAATCCAATGGTGTTCGATTTTGACGATCTGGTTCTATGTGATTTTAAGTATTTCAAGCATAACTATTCAAATCGACGTATCTGAATTTGTAAACAATCACTTCAATCGACGAGTTGTGACAACTGCAAGCTCACTCACAGAAACTAACAACACCAGCATTAGGGGAAAGATTCCCCTACCTGATGATGGCGTTTGTTCAAAAAAGCAGATACATCAATTTGAATAGTTACACTTGATTTGTTTAGGCCACTGCCATAATGAGAGCAAAGAGGCACGAAATCGAATGTAAGGAATAATATCAATAATAGGAATTCTTTTGTAAAGAACGCTAAGCGCGCCTCTTCGCTCCAACTTGGCAGCGGCTTTAGAGTCCTATGCGGAATCAATGGTAAAATTAACAGGTTGCTTAGATGTTCCATGCTGGTTTCAATCAGCGATAACATGTATCCTGATTTTTGAACATGATAAAAGTTGGGATGGATTTAAGACTGTAAAGCTGTAGTTTTCATGTAAATCAGCTGGACTAGATCATTTGCAAGTATCATAAATGAATAATGAAAGCTAGTTTGATGCATTTTCAGAAGTATTACGAGAATATGATTCAATATATGGCAACGACTATAAGTTGTGAACAATCTCAATTGAACCTTTGCAAATCATGAATTTTGTGATAGCGCACATATTATTAAAACGTTTGATAAAAACTCATTGTCCTCCATGAATGTTAAGAAAAGGAATCATTGTCCTCGTTAATCTCCAAACATCAAATGAAATGTCCTCCTTTTCAAGTTTTTGATATGGTAACCCTAATCTTCGTAAAATCCATGCTCGTCATCTCCCACCAATATTCCAACAGTACACAACACAGCTACACAGTGATACACCATCCAAAACACACCACCACTCAAAAAATGCATTGTTATAAACCGCTATCGTGAAGCTCGGTGATCGTCACGGAAACACTGTTCTTGCACTTGTTGGATAACGGGTCTCAGATTTATCTGATGATCGAAAATTCCCAAAGGTTGGATTGGGTGGTGCCCGCCAGGAACGTAATGCACGAGTGCGTAAAGTGTTTCAGGATGATCAGTTGATGGGAGATCTTTCGCTGGAACGAGTATCGCCAGGACCTGCTTTCCAACGAGTGGGTATTGATTATTTTGGACAATTCGAACTACAGCCTGTCACCCTGAAGAGCCGCCCGGTGAAATGCGTTCTCTGTTTGTTCGTTTGCTTAGTCTGCAAAGTTAGTATCTCGACCGGGTCGTGAAGGAACGTTTCGTCGAACTAATCGAAGTGCGGAGGCGTAGAAATAAATCGAAAATTTTAGCGTAAATCCGCGGCCGAAAGTGACCGAAAGCAGTGCCCGCTCCTGGCGGAAGCGTGCGAGACGGCAAATGCATTGCGAGTAGCTGAAATAAATAGTCGGAAATTGTCTACCAGAAGCTTTTTGCATTCAGTCGACTCAGTGAGGGATCAAGAAACAAATATGGCAGCCACGCGGGTGGCTCGCCCGTGCAAGGAATAAAAGGGTGATATTCAGTGAGAAATCCGTTAGGGGAAAAAAAACTTGAAATTAGTAATTAGGAGAAGAGCAAAAATTAGTGAGTAGAAAAGTTAGTGACAATTGAAGAAAACCGAGAAGAATAAGGAAAGAAAAAGATGACGAGCCAAGGAATCAAGACGCGATCGCAGAGCAGGAAGGTGGGCCCGTTGACCACTGGAGGTACAAGACGGGACCAAGCAAACACACTTACCACAGCAGGAGGTTCTTCGAGTAACTCAACCCCGGAACTATGCAACAGCACAACATACACGGCATCGAAGGTAGTCTACCTAGAACCGATCAGGTACGAAAACCCTTCCCCGAGCCACCCGGCGGCAGTAGGAAAGCTTCTACGAGAAGGCGGATTCATGACGTACAAGGAAATCACCAAAATCGGTAAGTTCCGGTTTAAGGTAGACCTTGATTCCGCAGGTGATTTTGCTCAGCTGTCGAGAGTCAAACTGGACGTGAAGAACCTAAAGATATTCGTGCCGCAGGGGCACAGGCAGACGCTAGTTTTCGTCCCGAACGTCCCCCTTGATTTCACGGAGGAGGAGATGCGAGCTTCCATCACCACCAGCGTTCCAGTGTTAAGGGTGGAAATGATCAAGAAGAAGAACAAGGACGGCGCGCTTGTTGACACGAGGAACGTAAAGGTGACCGTACAAGGCAGAGAAACGCCCGGTAAAGCAGTGCGCACATTGCTGGAAGTTTGGACACACACAAGCGAGGTGACAGAAACTGCCCGGAACGTGAACGAAGAAGCAGAATATAGAGAATATAGCTGAAAAGTCTTATCCAAAATTTCAAAACCGGTTCGCAGGTTTGGAGGATGATGAAGAATTCCCCGGGTTGTGCGATCAGGATTCAACGGGGCCCGGAAACTCCAGCACCGGCCCAAGGATCGCGGTCGAGGGAAGGTGCAGGTGCGCCGGAGGGAACTGGAGAAACGTTCAGCGCCAAGGCAGATCGGTCAAAGCAAGGCCGGGGACAGGAACGGAGCATCAGGAGCATAACGAAGCAGGAGACCAGGAACGGCAAAGCTAGCCGGAACGAAGCGGTAGGTCAGGTTACGTGGAAAGAACGGTCAGGAGCATCAATCGGGAAAAGCCGGTCAACCAACTGAATGAGATGCGGCCACAATTCATCTATTCGCCTGAGGAAATGATGGCCACCTTCAACGAAGCAGTAGAGAATGGCTCGTATAGCTTCAAAAACAAGAAAGCCAACTTCCTAAAAACCTGGTGGACGGATGAAATCGCGAACCTCTACGAAAGCAAGCGGGAAGCACTCAGGACATACAACAAACAAAAAACGAACTCGAGCTTCAACAGGCTGCAAAAGGAAAGGGCACTTTTCAAAACGTAATTAAGGAGGACCAAACGAAGATACGTAAGGGAGTTGTCGGAAAAAATCGATGAAGCGACCCCACCAAGGCAGTTTTGGAACATGGTGAAAGGAATCGATACGGCGCTCTAAGGAAGGCACAAAAAAGGAATAGAAATCACGGGCGAGGAGGGAGAAAAGTTCATGGATCATTACTTCCAGGACAAATTCCGAGAGGTTCTCTTTCCGTCAGTAGACACGGAAAAGATCCTTGAAGGATACGAAATGGCCATTAAGGACGAGGAAATTATAACCATGCTTCTTCAGGACAGGAAAACACACTCTGTCGCAGGTCCAAACGGGATGTCATATGCGGTGCTCAAGCAACTGAACCCAGGGATGCAACGGAAAATATGCTAAATGCTCAGCCGAGTGTTTGTATCTGAAGAAATTCCGGATCAGTGGAGGTGCACGGAAATAAGGCCAATCCCTAAGAAATCTGGAAAGGCTGGGACACCCAGCAGCATGAGACCGATAGCGCTGATGAACATCGAGATCAAATTGATCAACGCTGCGGTCAAAAACAGGTTAACGGAAATCTGCAGCATTAAGAACCTGATTCCTGAGCTATCTTTCGGTTTTCGGAAGCATGTCTCAGCGTCAACCTGCATCAACTACGTAGTCAACTCAATACACAGTGCGAAGGAGATCCAGAAAGAAGCATTCGTAATATTCCTGGACGTAAGTATGGCATATGACTCAGTCAACTCATCAATCCTGCTGGCAACGCTAGCAAAATCAGGGGTCCCAGGAAAAATATTCTCATGGTCTCACGAGTATTTAAGATCACGGAAAATGGTGCTAAGTTCGGAGGACGGACCTATAGAAGTCGAAGTTTCAGAAGGACTCCCCCAAGGTTGCACGTGGATCTACTTTTCCAAGTCCGACCGTCGGATAGGGATCTTCATCTGGAAAAAAGAATGCGTTTTTTCCAACGAGTCGAATTCGATACAACTGTAAGCACAACGCTAGGAGAGGCCAGGCATAAGCAGGAACGCACCCCGGCAGTAGTATGGCAGGCACTGTTTCATGAAGCAATTCAGAACTCGTATAAACAACACAACAGAATCTACACCGATGCTTCAAAAACACACTCGGGGACAGCATTCGCTGTCTTCGATGAAACGGATGCGACCAGCGTGGCAGAGAACATCAATAACAACTTCACGATCACGAAAGCGGAACTGCTCGGCATACTGAAGGCAATGGAGTTAGTCAAGGAGAAAGGTTACAAGAAAGCGGTCATCTTCACTGACTCTAGGAGCACCTGCGAAATGCTGCTGAATGAACGATCGTTCGAGGAAAACTACCTACTATGGGAAATCTACAAGGAATTCCGGTATGTCAGGGGGAACGCCATCAGGATCCAGTGGGTGCCAAGTCACAACGGAATAAAAGGTAACGAGTCAGCAGATCAGTTAGCAGTCGCCAAAGCACGGGATAACCAGTCCTTCTTCCGTGGGATCACATTAGAAGACGCGTTGATCCTCAGCAACACCGAAGTCTGGGAGGATTGGACGCGGAAGTACAAGGAAGCTTCAAAGGAGAAAGGAAAATGGCACTACAAACTCATGGAACGCCCACACAGGAAAATAACGAGCAAAGACCTTAACCTGCAGCCGGATGATGTAAAAGTTCTGAACAGAGTAAGAAGTGGACACTGCCTCACTAAGGACAGAAAGGCGGGCTGGGGGTGGGAACTTGATGACACGTGTGACTGGTGTGAAATTACTGAAGACATAAATCACATCCTGTTCGATTGTGCACGCTACAACCAAAATAGAACCCAATTTCCGGCTCTGGAATACATGAAACCGCTAGAAAACATCCTGAAGGAAGGTTGTGAAGAAGAATTGAAGCAAATCACGAAATTCCATAGGTCGCTGAAGGTAGTCCCTTTGTCTTTATTGGCAACACGAGAAAGCGATTAAAAAAACGTGACTCATTAGCCTCGTAAGACCTCTCGTATGGACTATCAACCCACCTTGACAAATTTAAGATGTAGCGGTACCCCAGATATCCCATTTTTTCATGCAGAAGAACAGCTGAATAATAAGCAAGAACATGCTGCCATGTTCACGTTATCTGGAATTGTGGAGAGCATATTCAATATAATCAACGTCTCTGACTCAACTAGGAACATTATTAACACCGACAAACCGACATTACAAGGAAATTTCTGATCAAAGCACAACACTGGCATCTGTCGCCTCTAGATAAATAAAAATCTATGGTTTTGACAGATAGGATCGCTGCACATTTGAATCGGTCGTTATGGATTCTCGGTCAAGAGTTAAGTTTAAGTTTCATGTCGGTTTGTCGGTGCTAACACAACCATCAGAAAGGGTAAATTTTACTCTACCTGATAATGGTGTTAGTATGCGTGGGCGAGCTACCAGTTAAGCCAAACCGACGACAAAATGCATTGTTTACAAAAGCTGATACGTCCCTTTGAAAAATTAATCGAGATTTGTTACAATTTGCTACTCCTAACCTCGAGATAGCACCGAGTAATCGGCCCCCGCTTTACTAACGTTAGTTTAAAGTTATGTTGTGATCCAAACAATGAACATCGGCTCCGCAAAGCTACGGCAAATGAGCCGGGAAAAAAGCATTATAAAAAAAAATATGACAACCTTAGGGTGGTCCGTTTAGAAAATAATAGTTACAATATTAAAGATTCGACAAATATTTCCATCATTTTCCACCATCTACTACAAGCAATGGTTTTCACCAACGACAATATTATGACGATCATGCAGGGCAAAAACTCACCCTAAATCTCTCCTCCTGGGTCGGTTGGATGACGCCCGGGTCGCCTCGCCACGATTTCAGAAAGCACACCCACAGCCCAGCGCTGCTCGTCAGGAACGAAACCGAAGCCAGAAAGGACACCGTCGGTGCGATGTACGTCAACCAGGTCACGTAGAACCACGCCTTGGTAGCCATGTAGACGCTGAGGGGAAGCAGTGCCATCAGCGTTTCGTCGAACAGCGTCTGTCCAATCGTGTGGGACAGGGCGTACAGACAACCGAGAAGGAATATTTTGATGATGATCAAGGTCTCGGCGCAGAAAATCAGCCCAGCCAGATAGAAGACCAGAAACGGAGTAGCAATCATACTCCACCAGCGGAAGCGTTTGTCCAGGGTAAACCGAACTATCAGATTGCGTCTCTGCGATTGCTGCGTCAGGTCGCGGACTTTTTCCGACACTTTCGATCCGATCCAGATGGATCCCAGGTGCGGTTGTAGCATCGTAAGCGGAGTGTCCCCTCGTAGATTGGGAACCTCTAGGCTCGCTTTGCCCTTCATGATCAAGGTACTGACGGCGGTAGCATTGCGTGCAAGAATAGCCCAATGGAGAGCAGTGTTTCCGTGCGTGTGATCCGCTAAGCTAGGATTTGCCCCAAGAGTAAGCAGTAACCGAACAGGATCCAAGGCGCAAACCTTCCAGGCAGCCCACATAAGGGCAGTCATTCCACCTCGATCCTGAAGATCCGGATTCACTCCCCGAGCAATGAAGTACGCAACCAGTGCAGTGTGACCAAATTGTGCTGCCAAATGGATGCACGAACAACCTTCCGCATCTCGTAAACTCGGATCAGCTCCAGCTGCCAACAGCAGCACGACTGCTCCTAGGTGACCCTGTCTCGTCGCCCAATGCAATGGAGTGGCATTTAGTTCTCCGCCTATCGCATCCACAATTGCCCCTTTGTCTAGGAAATATTTGATAATGTCCCTTCGGTTGTTGATAGCTGCCCAGTGCAGCAGTGTCACCGTTTCACTGTCCGGTTGGTTCACATCCCACCCTGCTTCGATCAGTTCCTTCACTCTGCCGATTGCACCATACTGCGTTGCTTTCACAATATCGAACCCACTGTAGTCATGTTCCACCGGGGCCACCGCCGATTCATGCGTTATCAGTCCATCCCGATCGGTTCGTTCCGGTTCCGAGCAGCCACCGGCAGCGGCACTGCAGGCGCTTTGATACATTCTGGAGACCGTTTCACTACTTCCGCGTTAGTTATCCTACCTTCCAGTGAAATTATTTCCCCACCTTATGCACTTTTCACACCGATTATCGCGACGAAGAAAAGCTAAAAATCCACTCCCAAACAAACACCAGAGTCTTGTTTTTCCGCACTCTCTTCCGGATCTAATACTGATTGTTCGCAGCCGAACCGTAGCGTTACGCACAATTAAGACATGTAATTATTTCGTTGCAAACAGCAGCTTCAACCAAGGCCAGGTATCATCAATCAGATTTTGCTCTAATCACTCGCGGAAATCCGTGCACCATAATAGCGTTTTATCAATCTCGCGAAAAACTTCGATTTTTTTTCTGCTCCCCCTTCGCTGGCCAGGCTGACAGACGACCAGCAGCGATGATGAATGACAGACATCGGGAAAACGTTGTGGAAAAATAAAGACGAGGGGTGAGCGAATTTGAAGTTTTTTTTTTCTGTTGGCCTAATGTCGGTAGAAAAGGACACTATAAAAAATAATGAAATGGTGTATAACAGTTAAAAAATGCCCATCACTCAAAGATATTACTAAACTAGGAAAGATTAAAATTTATTCATTTTATGTTAATCCTATTTTTATACATTGATTCGATTAAAATTTATTTCAAAATTATACTAAGTCCAAATAATGGTGCAAAATTCTATCAGTGTGTACCACTGATTAAGGCTTGCAAAAATTACCATAATAGAATTCTATCATGGCATTTTGAAGTATAAAAATACCTTTTAAAAAATTAACGTGAAACATTACCGGTTCTGGTCGGTCAATGTCCTGGTTACGGCACCAACAATAGTGGCAACCACGACAAATGTTTTCAATAGAAAATAACCACAATAACAATATCGGCCAGTATCGGTAGGGACGGAAATTCCGAATATTGCCACGTTCAGCTCTATCTCGTTGCAAGTTGGATCCATGCACGAAGTTTACGTTTCGTTTGTTTCGAAAAGACATCCACCATTTCGGAAGTTCCGAATTGACGCAAACAAGATCACCAAGAATGGTCGAAGGCGAAAATATCTTTCCACTGATGAATGGCCAGAAAGAGCCAATTCTCAACGGATCAGGTACCACAGTTCCGGTTATGAGGTACAACCATAGAGGTAACTCTAAGACCACTGGGTCCCGAAGAAAATCATTATTATTTTTGGCTCACTCAGTACCAGAACAACGGTCCCAAGCAGTCCCAAGCTATTTCACTCACCCCTGCATGTTCTGCATGAATCCACACACCCCTGATGTTATCTGTCACATTGTGTAGTACTAGAATTTTGACTAGAATGGGCTACGTTAATCGATTTGCTACGGACCAATAGGCTAGTCAAGTAGTGAGCCAATTTCAAATCGATAGTTTCGTATTGATTGTTGTACCGTATTAAGCTCTAGTTTAAGCTACTGAAGATCATAAGTTTAATTGAGAATAGCTGAATGTTCGGTATTTTTTGTGCTTTGCAGTTCGAAAACTGTGAAACAAAAAATTACCGAACATTGAAACCACAAACGAAGTGACAGACGGAGCGGCTCGAAATTTGATTTGACGCACTTACATTTGAAATTTTCGAGTGTACCTCACGGCAACACTATCTACTCATATGTACTAGCTTAAAGTAGGAGGTACCGTATGTTATCTCTTTTTCTCTAACAAAAATTGAAAGGGAGAGCCTGTTGTCAAACAGCATGTCATTATGACGTTTAGTTGTTATCTGCTTTTCTTTTGTATAATAAAAGATCATAGGTCAAAATGATTATGGGTGAACACATCGGGTTTACATTTGCTCACAAGTAAACGATGTTGAGCTGTCAATGAATCGCGCTTGTTGCCATTGTTGCTACAGATTTCTTCAGTCCCTGCTTCTAACCAAAGTCAGAGTCAACCGCGACCGAGAAGACATTGACAGAACCCGGGCATACTCGGTATGCATTCGCTCATCCGTAGTGAAACTGTTGACGGTCTTCGGGGAGTCGGAGGATGGTGATAGGAAGGAGGACCTGCTGGAAACACTGAGGTACCTTGGATTGGAGGATTGGAGTGTGTCGCGAGGCGGTGGATAGAATTCGATGCCGCTTTGTGCTTAGAATTCATAATTTGGCGGTGAAGTTCAGTGGGAAGGTGGTAAGTTTAGTTTAGGCATAACATTTGATAACGGCTCAAAAGCATTTGTAAACAAACTTTCTAATGCCCTTTACACGCGAACCAAAGTACGCCCACGCAAACCAACATCATCGGATAGGGGCAACTATCACCTTTCCGAAAGTGGTATTGGTTTGCGTGGGCGTACTTTGGTTCACGTGTAAAGGGCCTTAGAAAGTTTGTTTACAAATGCTTTTGTGCCGTTATCAAATGTTATGCCTGAGTTGATTTTGTTTAGAAGGATTCTGTGTAATAAATTTTACTTTTTCAGAATAAACGACACATATTAGTGCAATGCGCTTGCTTGCTGGAAGATTGCCATTGGGCGGAAGAGCACACGGAGCTGTTGCTAAGGGTGAGTCGGATGGTGCTCAAGGCGATATACGATGCACATACGAATGGATGTGATCTGCTCCACCACAATTCGATTGTTGCGGCATTGGTCCGAGTCTGACGATTTCGCGATCCGGGCGAAAGCAGTAGGGATCTACAACGATGTGTTCGATAACTCAACGGCGCTGCTGTATCGACTGTTCAGTGTGTATCAGAAGCGGGCAGCGAAATTTTTCGCATAAGTGATATATAGAGAAGTTTAGCGAGATGGAAATGGCAGAATTATTCCACAAGAGTTTGCCTTATTTGGAAATAATTCTTAGCTTGGGTGAGGCTTCCAAGCAGTACTTACAATTAGTGGAGATTCTTAGTAGGGTTAACTACCCCCTTTCCGGCCTATTAAGCATAACGCGCACTTAGTCTTTCTTAATCTAGCACAGTTTAGCATCAAACGAAATGTTATTATTACTGATGGCTTCCAAATTTATTTACCTTTCTGTACGTACCGTAAGATTTAATAAAGAGAAACCAATCGTTGAGATATTGTCAAAAGTCTAACACTGATTCTTGATGCCAAACTCGGCCTACGGATTCTAAATTCGGCCTAACGCATTGAATCGTCAATGAATTCACTTCGGCCTTTCGGATGAAGATAAAAATTGATTCGGTCGGAGCGCTTCTTTTGTTTTTGTGAATTATGGGTGCAAAGCTTCATATAACGCATTCTCATTGACTTCGTTCGACAGCTAATTGACTAAAGTATCGTACCAAACCCATAATTGACTTGTTAACTCTGAAATCATGGATTTATTTGATGTTTTCTGCTCGATAGGCCCAAAATGGGCGATTAGACCGAAGTAGTTCACTACCCTATTTTTGAAAGAATAGAATCTGAGCCAACGGCAAGTTCCGTGTGGATTTTGAGTAAGTACATAGAAAAAAAAAGTTGTTGAATATTACATCCAAACAGCTGCACAGAGGTCATTCCGCTGGTTGTGTAATATTACGTTGTACGATGTACATCGATTTTGCGAACAAAATTACATCTATTGATGTAATATTGTATCTGCTTTTTGCTATTACATCATTTTTTCATTCATCAGCTTGAATTACGTTGATCGATTTTACATTTTTTTTTGCTGTGTATCTCAAGTTTCAAAACAGCTCTGTTCTGGATATGAAAACGCTGAAATCCCTATCAGAGAAATTGAAAATCCTCAGTGGGAAATCCCCTCCGGATCAGATTTTGGTAGAAATCGTTAAATTCATCTCACTTCAACTGCGGATACATTTGGATCAAATTAAGCAGCAGGCTTCGGAGGTAACCGAGCCGATCATTGAATTGTGCAAATCGTTGGTCAAATTCAGTAAATACTGCCCCAGGAATCAAGCCCAGATTTGCTCCCGCTGTGGAAGCTCCAGTTGGAATGTTGTGGATTACATTTCAACGATAGTTATAAACTTGGCTATGACCATGTCCAAGGCCGGCAGGAAATCAGTCCAGAACTGGTCGGATTGGTCAATGGATTTCTGAGGCATAAAATGCTAACTCTGGACGATTTGGGATGCGAAAAAACCCAGTTAAAAATACTGACTCCTGTAAAATAATCTAAGTGTGTACACAGAAAAAAAAATTGTGGAATATTACATCCAAACAGCTGCACAGAGATCATTCCGCCGGTTGTGTAATATTACGTTGTACGATGTACATCGATTTTGCGAACAAAATTACATCCATTGATGTAATATTGTATCTGCTTTTTGCTATTACATCATTATTTCATACATCAGCTTGAATTACGTTGATCGATGTTACATTTTTTTTTGCTGTGTATGAGTAGGACATTCCACAGGCTGTGTGCTTTGTGATATACACCGATTTTGCGAACAACATTACATGAATGGATGTTACATTGTAAGGTACAATGGTGCACGACATCTGAAGGAAAGCAGAAAACGTGCGCGAGTTAACGCCGGTGCCAACCGCACTTGGCAAATTCCATCGTCGGTGCTTTCGTCAGCATCTAGGACGGATGCACAGAACGGCAACAGCAGCGAGCTTCATTAGCATTCCGCAATCGGGCGATCGATTGGACTCCGGACTAACATAGTGGACACTTTTCGCGAGTGCTAGGTTCTCTGTAGGAATTATTGGTTGAATAAAGTACTCTTTAGGTAGCAGCAGTAGTGAGAAGATCTTTTTTAAAAAGAACCTCCGACGTTCAAAACTTTAACTGGCGCCCGAATAGGGACCTGCCGATATGGAAATCGTATAAGTTCCGCTGTAAAAATCGTAAACTCAGTGCTAGTGCGAAACATCCTCAAAAGTGGAATATCAGAGATTCCAGCGATTGGTCCAAGGAGCCAAGCACATATCACAAACGGGTACCACGAGCCCCACCGTAGCAACCAAAGCAGAAATCAGGACACCGTAGCCATCCGGCTCGATCGTCATCAGGGCCCCCAGTAGCATCGCAGCAAACAGGACAGCCCCGAAGTGACTGCCTGGTTTCTCTCCACAGGCAGAAGTTCCCAGCGAAGACCATCCCAAAATCATCCTCAAAAGTTCAACGGAAGATGTTGACAATCTTTATACTTCCAATACTATTGAGACAAACATAGACGCTACAAATACAAAAGATAGATCAACCAATTTTTGTTTTCGAACAAGGTGTTAGCAGAATTCAGATTCATTCCTATTATTACCTACATCATTTTAACATAGAAATCTTGAACCACCATGTAACCGATTTGAGAGATAAATTTAATAAAGTAGGAAAAACGCAGTTTACAGATATGATAGTCCAAAAATTTGACGACATAAACCTCTCACTAGGAACTATTTTACAAACCAAGATACAGAAACGTTGGGACGCAGTAGGAAAAGTTTGGAAATTTATTACCGGATCCCCCGACGCAGATGATTTAAAGTTAATCAATTCAACCATTAACAATCTCGTAGCAAATAACAATATACAAGTAAATATTAACCGAGAAATGGCATTACAGTTAAAAGAGACAGTATTTAAAACAAAAGATGCTATTCAACTGTTCAATTCAAAAACTTCGGAACTATATTCCATAAATATTCTTTTCAACCTTAAGGAATTAAATGATAAAATAAACAACATTATTGATACCATAGCCTTAGCAAAAGTAGGATTATTAAATGAAAAAATTCTATCAAAAAATGAAATTGAAATGTTTTGGAGAGATTTAGAGAGAGAAAATATTACAGTTCACTCAAATTCCGAAGTCGTAACCTATGCCAAGACAGCAATCGCCATCAACCGCAAGGAGATCGTATTATTCATCAAGATGCCGAAGTTAGACCCCAGAATTTTTCGTAGAATCTATGTTTTCCCAACATTCCACAACCAACAACAAATCCACACCACAGAGAGATCTTTCCTGATCCATACGACACAGAAATTTATCGTCAAGAACCTAGAACCCATCATTTATCGAATTGAGGACATTGAAGTAACCGAGTCTACATGCATACCAAACCTAATAGATGGGAAACCAGCCATTTGCAACTATTCATCAAAATCCATACAGCAGGAGATTGTTCCCATCGATTAGTATTATTTACTGGTGAATTCAATGAGCAATTTCACCCTATCATCAGATTGCAGCACCAATGAAAGAATTCTCACTGAATCATATCTGATTCGATACGAGAATTGCACCATACGAATCAACAACATTTCGTATGCCGGCAGAACTCGAGCCACTGCTGGAAATCCGGTCCACCTTCATCTGGACGGAATAGCTATTTCCAAGGACAGTTTTATATTGAACCTTAGTATGGAACATCTCCACAAACTGCAAACAGAAACACGGAAAGATTTGGACTTACTCCGTTTAAAAAGCTACAGTCTGCATTTCCCACACTGGTCCCTTTTTGGAGGGATAACCATCCTCCCCATAATCGGTATCATTATTTTCCTCAGCATTTTCTCCCGCAGAACAACAAATATCAAACTAGAGACAATGCCAAACACCAACGATCATCGTGGAAAATCGGAACCTGGAAAAAACGTCGGAAACCTAAACACATCTTCATTTGGATATACGATGCCCCTGGAGGTTCATCACTAAGGAGGGGCGAGTTAACGCCGGTGCCAACCGCACTTGGCAAATTCCATCGTCGGTGCTCACGTCAGCATCTAGGACGGATGCACAGAATGGCAACAGCAGCGAGCTTCATCAGCATTCCGCAATCGGGTGATCGATTGGACTCCGGACTTGCATAGTGGACACTTTTCGCGAGTGCTAGGTTCTCTGTAGGAATTATTGATTGAAGTAGTCTTTAGGTAGCAGCAGTAGTGAATAGATCTTTATTTAAAAAGAACCTCCGACGATCAAAACTTTAACTCGCGCAGCGAAACGAACCGACGGAGAATCGCAATTGCTGTGATCAAAGCGATTGGTGAGGCAGAAGGAAACAAGTCAGCTCTTTCATTATAACGACGTTCTTATGCATAATATAGTGTGACGTAACGTTGGATCATGTGTAAGAACACCGTGAGAACAAAAGAGTCGACTACATTCCTTCTGCCGCACCTATAGTAACGCACACGGCTCCCGCACTGACTGTTCCTTACTTTCTCACTCTAATCAAAATTTCCTTCGATGAGTGAGAAAACAGTACCCCGTCAATGCGAGCGAGAACGCGAGTTGCCAGATCATTGCACACAAAACCAACTTGAATTAATTCAAATCAAAAATACTAGCGAACCTGGCGGTGAGGGGCGGAAGGTGAACTAAAATTCTATTACAGAGAACCACATTATTTTAATTAATTTCTTCGGAGAAAGTCGTCTGTAACTTCGTTTGTGATTGAAACCGTGATAAAGTGGGTAGCAGTTGAAACCCGATTTAATCTAAAACCTCGATAGGGATCTTTTGATTAATATAACGATTAAAATTATTGTCGAGTGACACTAGATTACGCTCAAGCAACCCACTTCGGGCTCGGATCGGCTGAATGAACGCCAACAAGGAATTACTCGCAAATTGTTGCCAAGTGTTTCGAACTAATGTCTCCCCCCTCGAAGTTTTTCTAAATTCGTATAACAGTTGAACTAATCACGTTGCTGACCTAGCTAGCATGGACCGCTTTCATTTGTTTTGCATTTCGGAAGTTGTTTGGCGCGCAGAGACGAAATTTTCCAACTTCAAAACTTCCCTCGAGTATTGCTTTGCAACGAGTTTTTATATTCTAAAACAATGAATTCCAAGCGTAAGCCGTTCCAGAAGCCCGGTGAACCTTCCGGTTTCAACAAGAAATTCAAGTAAGTTATATGCAAATGGTCGGGAACCGTGAATTCATTATTTTTTGTTTCTTTATACTCAAGGGCTCTTGACGAGGATGAGGATGAGTTCGAACCGGACTTCGAGGCGGAGCTGGCTGCCCTGGAAGCGGAAGAGGCCGGCGTTGATGGGATTGCTTCGGTTGGCCAGGGACCGGAAGCGGAGAATACCTGTGCCAAGTGGAGTCGTCCAAAGCCACGGGAGTACCGCCAAGATGAGGACCGACTCGTGTTCCAGCAGATCGATATCGATCACTACGTGGGCAAACCCTTGCCGATGATGCCCGGGTCACAGGTTTGTCTGGGTTTGATTGAATATGAAGTGAGGGGAATTCATTAAAAAATTGTTTGTAGATCGAGCCTGTTCCGGTGATGCGAATGTTCGGCATTACGGAGGAAGGGAATTCGGTTTGTGCTCACGTTCACGGATTTGCACCGTATTTGTACGTGGCTGCGCCACGGGGTTTCGACAAGTCGCATCTGTATGAGTTCCGGAAGGCGCTGGATAAGTCGGTCATGAATGATATGCGTTCGAATAAGGAGAACGTTCAGGAGGCGGTGCTGGATGTGGAGATGGTCGAGAGGCAGACGATTCTGGGCTACAATGGGGAGGAAAAGTTTATGTTCATCAAGGTGACGGTGGCGCTTCCACGACTGTCGGCCGCAGTGAAGAGATTGTTGGAGAAGGAACAGATGATGCCGTCGATGGATTTTCAGGATTGTAGAGTTTATGAGAGTAATATCGATTTCGACATTCGGTTCATGGTCGATACGGGAGTGGTGGGGTGCAGTTGGATTGAGCTTCCGGCTGGGAAGTGGAGGATGAGACGCAAGGGGAAGATCCCTGCTCCGGAGACCCGGTGTCAGATTGAAGTTGATGTGGCGTACAATGATTTCATTGCTCACGAACCGGAAGGGGACTGGAGTAAGGTGGCTCCGTTTAGGATTCTGAGCTTTGATATTGAGTGCGCCGGCCGTAAGGGCATATTTCCGGAACCTCAGCAGGATCCGGTGATTCAGATTGCGAATATGGTGATCCGGCAGGGAGATCAGGAACCGTTCCTGAGGAATGTGTTCACGTTGAATACCTGTGCACCGATTGTGGGTTCTCAGGTTCTAAGTTATAAGACGGAACAGGAGCTCCTGGACAAGTGGGCTAGCTTTGTTCGAGAACTGGATCCGGACATTCTAACCGGGTATAACATTAACAACTTTGACATTCCTTATCTGTTGAACCGGGCGAGCCACTTGAAGGTGAAGAACTTTGAATATCTAGGAAGGGTGACCAACATTCGATCGGTTATTAAGGAAACTGTTATCCAATCGAAGCAGATGGGTAAGCGCGAGAACAAGTATGTGAATTTCGAAGGACGGGTCCCATTTGATCTGCTGTTTGTCCTGCTCAGAGACTACAAGTTGCGGTCCTACACTCTGAACGCAGTCAGTTACCATTTTCTGCAGGAACAGAAGGAAGACGTCCATCACAGTATTATCACGGATCTTCAGAACGAGAACGAACAAACCCGTCGTAGATTGGCCATGTATTGTCTGAAGGACGCCTACCTTCCGCTTCGGCTGCTGAACAAACTGATGTGCATCGTCAACTACATGGAGATGGCTCGTGTCACTGGAGTGCCTTTGAGTTGTCTCTTGACCCGTGGCCAACAGATAAAAGTCATGAGTCAGCTGCTGCGCAAGTCCAAGACTTGCGGATACCTTATCCCATCCTACCATGGTTCGGGTTCGGATGAACAGTACGAAGGAGCTACGGTCATTGAGCCCAAGCGAGGCTATTATGCAGATCCCATCACAACGCTGGATTTCGCTTCTCTGTACCCCAGCATCATGATGGCCCACAATCTCTGCTATACGACCCTTCTTCAGCCGGCTAACAAGGACAAATTACACCTCACAGACGACCAAATCACGCGGACTCCGGCCAATAACCTTTTCGTAAAATCCTCCGTTCGTAAAGGCATCCTTCCTGAAATCCTCGAATCACTGCTTAGTGCACGTAAACGGGCCAAGGCCGATCTCAAGATCGAAACCGATCCCTTCAAGCGCTCCGTCCTGGACGGTCGTCAGCTTGCCTTGAAAATCTCAGCCAACTCTGTATACGGTTTCACCGGAGCCCAAGTTGGCAAGCTCCCATGTCTGGAAATCTCTGGTTCCGTAACCTCCTACGGCCGAACCATGATCGAGCAGACCAAACAGGAAGTCGAACAGCGCTACACTGTAGAAAACGGTTACGAAAACGATGCCGTCGTTATCTATGGCGATACCGATTCCGTGATGGTCAACTTTGGCGTCAAAACCCTCGAGCGTAGTATGGAACTTGGCCGTGAAGCCGCTGAATTCGTCAGCCAGAAATTCGTCAAACCCATCAAGCTGGAATTCGAGAAAGTCTACTATCCTTACCTCCTTATCAACAAAAAGCGCTACGCCGGTTTGTACTTTACTCGTCCGGGTCAGTACGACAAGATGGACTGTAAGGGAATTGAAACCGTTCGGCGTGACAACTCTCCGCTGGTCGCCAACCTTATGAACTCCTGTCTCCAGAAACTGCTAATCGACCGCGACCCGGAAGGCGCAGTTGAATATGCCAAGCAAACGATCGCCGATCTTCTGTGTAATCGCATAGACATCTCTCAGCTCGTAATCACGAAAGAACTGGCCAAAACCGATTACGCCTCCAAGCAAGCGCACGTCGAACTGGCTAGCAAAATGAAGAAACGCGATCCCGGAAGTGCCCCCAAACTGGGCGATCGTGTCCCGTACGTCATCATCACCGCTGCCAAAAATTCACCGGCCTACATGAAAGCCGAAGATCCGATCTACGTACTGGAAAATTGCGTCCCCATCGACGCCAAATATTATCTGGAGAATCAACTCTCCAAACCGCTTCTCCGAATCTTTGAGCCCATTCTCGGAGAGAAAGCGGAATCCATTCTCCTACGAGGGGATCACACCCGGACGCGATCGGTCGTGACGTCCAAAGTCGGTGCCCTGGCAGCGTTCACCAAGAAGCGGGACGCCTGTTTGGGTTGTAAGGCACTGCTCCCGGCCGGGTACGAAGGGCAAGCCCTGTGCCAGCACTGCAAACCCAAGGAAGCCGTGCTCTATCAGAACGAATTGACGGCGCAGTGTTCGCTGGAGGATCGGTTCTGTCGGCTGTGGACCCAGTGCCAACGGTGCCAGGGCTCGCTGCACGAGGAGGTCATCTGCACCAGCAGGGATTGTCCGATTTTCTACATGCGCACCAAGATCAAGATGGAACTGGACACGCAGCAGAAGCGGGTGGCGCGTTTTGGGGTTCCAGCGTGGTAGTTGACCACCGATGAGTATTTTTTTGTATTATGTGTGTGTTGAATTATACTCTTTTTTTCTTCATTAATCAGAGTTTTTAAAACTAAGTAGATGTTTGAGAAATTCTGTTTACATACTATCGAAGACAACAGATCAAGAAGACTGGCAACTCATACGAACGCTATGAGACAGGTACAATTGCGTCATCAGCCGCTCAAAGGTAAATGCTTCGAACGAATTTGATAGCAAAGATTACACCCTCAGAAGAAGGGTTTGTGTGTTTGCTCATTTTTCCATGCGTTGCTTTCACCTTCACTCAAGCGCAGCGCTATTGTATCTGTCGCTTAGATTCTGGCAAAGTTGCTAGTCTTCTTGATCTTCGGTACTATCAACCGGTGGGAACTAACGATTTTAAATTGGCTCACTACTTGACTCGAGGGGGACGACTCTATCTACGATGCAGAAAAGATTGTGTTTTGCTGTGGTTAGCTGCGCGCACGCTGTGTAGATAGAAAGAAGATTGATGACGATTCTGAAGGATTGTACGACTTTTCCCTGAAAACCAGTCCCCCGAAAACACTTTCCCCGAAAGTTATTGCCCCGAATGTAACTTTTCCCCGAAATACAATTCCCCGAATGGCACAGTTCCCAGAAAATAATTTCCCCGAATGTACCATTTCCCCGAATCTGCGCATCTTCGCTGGTTAACTACTTGTATCGAACAATACCACAATAAACATATTAATGTGCGTCGAATAAAGACAATAGTTTGACTTTCGTTAAAACAAAATGTAAAGGTCAAGCTCCTGAAATCGGTGTAATCCTTTCCATGTAGTTTTAACGAAAGTCAAACTTTTGTCTTTATTCAACACATATTGATTTCTTCGTGCTCCATACAATTTTAGATTCACCCTAATAAGGAGTCGCCATGTGACTAATATGCATGAGGACGCATGATATCTTTTCTTTGTTTGTATTGAGTTTTTTTTTTAACGGTCGTACCTATCATACAAACACACACATTGTATGCAATTAGCTCCATGGATCATACCATATTATACGTCAAAGAATGAACTATGATTCAAAGAAGGAAAATTTCTTGCGACAAGCAAAATTTTCCCTTCTTTGTATCACAGCTCGTTCTTTAACGTTTTGAAGAATAAATATCTTACTAATTTATCAAAGCGATATCTCATTGCAATAAAATTGAAGAACGAGCTGTGATACAAAGAAAGGAAAATGATATCTCTTTGATAAAACCAATTAGATACCCTAATAAAAAATTACCATAAACGAACGATAACCCAAATGTGTGAACTATTCCACAAATGGTTTGGATGATACCCAGAACACGTCGTTAAGCAAATTAACCATAACATTTTTATTATGGTTGATATTATGCGATACGTTATGAAACGAGCTGTGCTACAAAGAAGGAACATTTCTTGAAACAAACAACGATTTTTCTTTTTTGTATAAGGGGTGATGTACAAATTATGTCACGCCCTAAGGAGGGACGTGTAGAAATCTGTGATTGATTAATTTTGCCTCAATTTCGCGTGACATAATTAATGTATGGCCCCTAACGGCTCGTTTTTTTTAATTTGATTACGATTAGATATCAGTTTTACAAATTAGTAAGATATTTATTCTTCAAAACGTTAAAGAACGAGCTGTGATACAAAGAAGGGAAAATTTTGTTTGTTGCAAGAATTTTTCCTTCTTTTTATCTTAGTTGATTATTTGACGTATAACTTGGTATGTTCCATGGAGCTAATTGCATACAATGTATGTGTGTGTGTGTTGGATAGGTACGAACGTTAAAAAACTCCATACTAATAAATAAAAGATACCATGCGTCCCCGTGCAATACATGCTATAGTCACTTTGCGACTCCTTATAGGCCGAATCCAAAATTGTATGGAGCAAAAAGAAAACACCATACACCGATTTCAGAATATTCGGTAAAAAATTACAGGAAATCTGTGAAAAATCACCGAACTGTTTACCGAACGTTCAGCTGTTGAGATTTCGGTATAATTTCACAGATTTCGGTGAAACAATCTTAGTGTGTGACCTTTACATGTAGTTTTAACGAAAGTCAAACTATTGTCTTAAGCGAACCCCACACGGTAAGAAATATTGTCAATACTTAAAAGTATTGACAATAATATTGATGATGTGAATACAGATATATTGTCAATACCGATGTATTGACGTCAATATAAAATGCATTGACAATACGATTATTGTCAATACAAACAGTCGTGTAGAGTCCACTTTAATTCGACACACATTGATATGTGTATTGTGGTATTGTTCGATACAAGTAGGTAACCAGCGAAAGATTTGATGAAACTGACACAATTTTCCCTTCTTTATATCAAAGCTCAGTCTTTATGCTCATTACAATCAGATATCAATTTGATAAACCGCCAAATGTCATAACAAGTCATAACCACAAACTTTATCTAGGGTGTTGAACGACTTTGTTCTGTTTATCAATATTCAGCAAAGATATTTTTCTCAATTTCATATAGATAAGTTGTAACAAACCCAAGGATCATATTTAAATAGATCGCACAGTGTAAATTGTATCTTTCGGGGAACTAGTTCTTTCGGGGAAATAGTTTTCGGGAAAACGTTCCTTTCGGGGAATCGTATTTCGGGGATAAAACTTTCGAGGAAAGTGTTTTCGGGGAACTGGTTTTCGGGGAAAAGTCGTACAATCTTCTGAAGATTTCCTGCAAAAAGATGATGCGCGATTCAAGTAGATGCAACAAATGAAAGAAGATTTTCCGAAGATTGATTCACTAATGTGAGATTTGTTGAGCATCTAAACTTGAGATTTAGATGTGTCGCCCCCCTCGACTTGACTAGCCTATTGGTCCAAAGCAAATCGATTAACGTACCCCATTATAGTCAAAATTCTAGTACTACGCAATGTTTGTTTTGATTCGCTATGAAAGTTTGACAGATAAAATGAGGGGTTCGTGGATTTTCCTATGTTTCGAGGGGCTGCATCGATTAGTTTGGGACCAGAGGGTAAGTCACTCTGCCACCTTGTGTATGTGCTTATTGTGTTTTTGTGTGTCGGAATGTGTTTCTGGTAAAGAGGCTGCATTTATAAAGAGACGGCATGTCAAAACTGAAACAATCGATTATCTGTCAAAGTCATAGGAAAGGTTATTCCAATCGAGCAGAAGATCTGTTAAACTGGGGGGGGAGGGGGGACGTGCTGTCAAATCAGCCTACTGATCATTCTTGTATGAAACTGGCTCCAAAAGTAAACAATCGTTGTAGGTTTCTTATGGCTTGTTTACCTTTGGAATCAGTTATGCGAGGTAGGCGACGATTGTTCGTATTTGACAGCCACTTCCCCCCTTGCTGTTAAATGGATAAGATGTCGCCTCTTTACCCAATTCAGGCTGTGTTCAATTTTTTTCTCGCGTCACTTTTCAAATAGACCAATGTAACATATCCACCATTTTGAGAAAATCGAAGTTGAAGTTCGACAGATTATTATTTTAACTGTTTAAAAACAATACATTTTGCAATGCTATTTTTAATGCAGTCAGTGTATAATAATGTTGAAAATTCAGAAGAAACGGTAAAATCACAATTTTACTTTGAATTGCATGCTACAACATAGAAAAAACCACATAGGACGTTTTGACAAGTCGTGTTGTACATCGGATAAGTTACATTGGCCGATTTTTCTCAATGACATAATCAATAAGTGTTACATTGGACGTTTTGTCTACATGATACTAGATTCCCTTTCACAGATTTCAGAGTATAGTACCTAACTTTATATTGGCCCCGCCTTTGAAAAATGAGCACCAATCATGTTAGGCAATCCGAATGACCGAAGTAACAATCATGTACCCATCATTTCAAACTGGTACATTGGACAATTTTTGATCAATGATTATCTTAAATAAATGAAAGTAAATTTGGATGGAGGTTTTTGTCGAGGGGGACGACTCTATCTACGATGCAAAAAAGATTGTGTTTTGCTGTGGCTAGCTGCACGCACGCTGAGTAGATAGAAGGAAGATTTATGTCGATTTTGAAGATTTCCTGCAAAAAGATGAAGCGCGATGCAAGTAGATGCGAGAAATGAAAGATGATTTTTCGAAGATTGATTCGCTAGTGTGAGATTTTTTGAGCATCTAGAATTGAGATTTAGATGTGTCGCCCCCCTCGGTTTTTGTATCACATACAATGATAGAACACAGCAAAAAAAAAGTAATATCGATCAACGTAATTCAAGCTGATGTATTAAATAATGATGTAATAGCAGAAATCAGATACAATATTACATCAACAGATGTAATTTTGTTCGCAAAATCGGTATACATCGTGCAACGTACTATTACCAACAATCAATACGAAACTAACGACTTTAAATTGGCTCACTACTTGACTAGCCTATTGGTCCCTAGCAAACGATTAACGTACCCTATTCTAGTCGAAATTCTAGTACTACGCAATGTTTGTTTTGATTCGCTATGAAAGTTTGACAGATAAAATGAGGGGTTATTGGTTTTTCCTATGTTTCGAGGGGTGATTCGACAAGCTTGGGACCGAAGATAGTACCAGAGGTGAGCCAAAAAGTTGAGCACGTTTCTACGGGACCTACTTGTCTTAGAGTTACCTCTATGGTAATACCACAAACGAAGTGGCAGACGGAGCGGCTCGAAAACTTTGGTGACTAACCTGCTATTGTTATTTTTCAGTGTACCACACGGCAACACCACTACTACTGGATTGAACTAGCATTTTCACCAAATGTGATAGAATGTTTTGGTTCTATCTCTTTCACTCTACTCAAAAATTAAATGCTTAAAAAAATGACAAAATGATACACTCTTTGCACACTGTCAAATAATCATTGTACACAAAATCAACTTTGAGCAAAACCAAAGCAAAAATACTCTCCCATCTGGTGGATGATGGCACAAGCTTCTAAGAAAATTCTATTACAGCGAACCACGTTATTTTAATTGATTTCTTCGCCAGTTAGTCGTCTGTC